TGTGTTGTATACACATCACATGCATTTTCAGATCTTTACATGTCCACTTCTTCTTTCTCGAACCCTCCCCATCCCACACTGCTCTCCCTCTCAGGAGGGAGCATGGGAGGTGGGGTGGAGATGCAGCAGTTTCAGTTAGTCCTGTTTCCACGTTTCTCTAAGTGTGAGCATTTGCTGTGCTGGCTGTGATTCTGTTATATAAAGCAATATATTTTTCATACATTATGGCCCTAAAATGCAAGCCAGCCTCTTCATCTGGTGTCAACTAAAGGAAAAGTGATCTGTTGCGACGCTGGAGGAAAAGGTGGCACTGTTGGCCTTACCTGTCTTGAAAGATGGTATGTTGGTCTTCACCTTGGGGTCTTCCAGTATGGTTCTGACGGTGTATGGTTTTCATGACATTCTGACTTTCGTTTCTGACCTCTGAGTTAGATGCACTGTTATTGTATTTCTTTTCCTTTTTATAAATAATAATTTTATTTAACTTTATTTATTTTAATCTGACCAGAGAGAGACAGAGAGAGAGAAGGAAAGATAGAGGGGGAAATTGAGAAAGCAAGCCGCCAGGTCCGGGACACAAACCTCAGTTGGCCATGTGGGAGTCTAGCACCCTTAACCATCATGCTACCTGCCAGCCCCCTCACTGCATTTCATTCTAGTCCTTTTCCCTGTACACATTTTATGTAAATATCCACAGAATATATTCATATTTAACTTTTTTTTTTTTGGAGAGGTTTTTGCTATAGGGCGCGTGCGTTCGCCAGAAAGAGAGAGACAGAGAGAGAGAAAGCAAGAAATCACACCCCAGGGGGGATGGCCACACCATAATCCCTTCTCCTCCATTCTTCTCTTTGGGATCTTGGGCACACACGCACACGTGCCCAGTGTGAGTTTAAGCCACCGGGTCCGGGACACGAACTGTGGTCGACTACATGGGAGTCCAGCAACATAGTCATTATGCTAACTGCTGGTCCCATTCATATTTAACTTTTAAAACGTAGTATATCAAGTATCTTTCTTTATAATTTTTTTTAAGAATTATTTAACTTTATTTATTTAGTTTTATTTGGCCAGAGAGGGACAGTGAGAGAAAGAGGGAAAGTGAGAAAGCAAGCCATCAGGTCCAGCACTCGAACCTTGGTCAGCCACATGGGAGTCCAGCACCCTTAACCATCATGCCACCTGATGGCTCACTTAATACTTTTTATAGCTATTATTTACAATAGAACTTTTTAGTTTTTGTCTTTTGTGAAGAATTTTGGGAGTCAGTATCAGTTCCTAAGAGTGAATGCTTTTTTTTTAGGGCGGGGGAGGTTTTTCCTATAGGGCGTGTGCATTTGCCAGAAAGACACAGAGAAACAGAGAGACAGAAAGTGAGAAATCACCCTCCAGAGGGCATGGCCATGCCAAAATCCTTTCTCCTCCATTCTCCTCTCGGGATCTTGGGCACGCACGCACACGCACCCGGTGTGAGTTCAAGCTACTGGGCCCAGGACTCAGACTGCGGTCAACTACATGAGAGTCCAGCAACATAGCCATTACGCCAACTGCTGGTCCCAGAGAGTGAATGCTTTTTAACTTGTGTACTGAGTCCTCCTCACAATGACAGTGGTTCCGCCAAAGATGTTTTAAATAGGAGCAGCTATGGTGCTGCTGACTTCAGTATTTCCTAACTGCAGACAAGACCGTATGCACTCAGGCATGTGGGACCCTTCCTGTAACTGGGCACTGTAGAGGCTGGGATTCAGATTATTTAAATCAGTTTAGGATTTTCTTAGGAGGGTGACAGGCTGGACGGTGTAGTGGTTAACACCACTCATTTGAAGCTGAACTGCCTGGGTTTAAAGCTTAGTATTGGTAATTACCGTTAAGGTGACCTTGAGCAAATTACTACCCCGTTTTTTTCCATTTTTTCCTCTGCCTCTCCTTGGGTAAAATGAAGTTAAAAAAAAATTTATCTCGTAAGGTAGTCTCGTGAGGATTACATCAGCACAGGATACGGAAAGTATTGAGAAGAGAGCCTCATACCAGGAGATTTTAAGTAAATATTACTTAGTATCGTTGTGTATTTTGGCAGTTGCTGAAAATCCTGTAGTACAGACATGAATCTTGAATATACAGAATATCTGGTATCAAGATTGGGTATGCCTTTTCCTTCTTTGCTTCCAACTTTTAGGCATTATAGTTAACCCTGAAATTTGTTTTCTTGTTTGTAAGCTAAAGTTTCAGCAGATGCAATTGAGTTTTGGGCTAATGAATTTAATATATATTTTTAAAAATAATTTTATTGTTAATTTGCTAAAGGGTACTTATGCCCACCAGAGAGAAAGACAGAGAGAGAAAAGTGAGAAAGCAAGCTTCCAGGTCTAGAACTCAGACTGTGGTTAGCCATGTGGGAGTCCAACACCTTAACCACTACTCCACCTGCTGGCTCCTCTCGTAAATTTAATATTAGCTCCGAAGTACCTTGTGCCACAGTATCTCAGGGTTGATGTAGAGGTGCTACTGGAGCCTCTTCATGTTTCCTGTCGACTCTACTTCTTCCTTCCCTGTGATTTATTATCCAAGTCTGTTTGTCCTTCTCTCTCTGTCCGCAGTCTGTGCGCTGTTCTGAGCTGTGGTGGTCACTTGTTCAAGCACAGAAAGGAGCCTTATGGCTATGGTGACTTGGTGATGGTTCTCCATGTTTCTCATGTGGACAGATCTGGAGAGTGCTGTCGTCTAGAACTTGGACATGCCTTTCACGTGTTTTGTGGAGGTGATCGACAGGGCCATGACTGCCTGATCCGTGGCCAGTTTTTTGGACATGCATTTGAGTGTTGGCGGTAGCTCTTTGGTGACAATAGGGACCTTAGTTCCTTTGGTTATTCTGTAATGTTTTCCAAGAATATTTAGAGTTCTTTACAAAATGTAGAATGTTTTACGTATCAGGTGTCCCCCGAGTTTGATCAGAAGATCCACTTGAAAAGGAACTAAGCCACAGAATGATCTTGATTGTTAATAGGCTATGAACAAATACGGATGCTGTTTTCTTAAAGTACTTTTATTTCTTCAAAGAGTTACCAGTCAGAGGAGACTAAAGTGGTAAATTTAAACAAAGGCTGGAGGGGTTAGTTGGAATCCATTTTAGTCAAAGCTATGAAATTAGGGTAGAAAATTTTTGTCAGTCTAATATGGTGGTGAGGTTTCTAGTAACTTGTCAACTTTCTAGACATTTCCCAACACTAAAAGCAAGGACCAACCTATACTATTTCGTAGTGAAGTTGCAGCATTAACAAGTCTAAAATCAAAGCTTGTTACTTTCGTAATCGAACATTTTACACCCTTTTTCTCATGTGACAAGAAATATACCCATTTCCCCATATTTGGCATGTATTTTAAGTTATATTTTCTCCCTTTTTTTTTTGCCTCCCTTGCCACAAGCTTTTTCTTGTTTATGCTTTTCTTTTTTTTCTTTTCTTGAAGAGTTTTTTTGCTATAGGGCGTGTGCGCTTGCCAGAAAGACAGAAAGTGAGAAATTACCCCCCGGGGGGATGGCCACACTGTAGTCCTTTCTCCATTCTCTCAGGATCTTGGGCGTGTGTGCACACATGCCTCACATGAGTTGTTTAGTTTGTTTTTAATCATTTTATTTATTTATTTATTTAAATTTGACCAGAGAAGGACAGAGTGAGAGAGAGAGAAGGAAAGCATGGAAACAAACCTCCAGGTCCAGGACTCGAACTACGGTTGGCCATATGGGAGTCCAGCATCCCCCCACCATGTGAGTTTTAAGCCACCAGGTCCAGGATTCGAACTGAGGTTAACTATGCCGGCGACGGAACCGTTACGCCATCTGCTGGGCCCTTAAGTTATACTTTCTATGGCCTTAGTTTTCTTGGCCTTTGATGCCCGATTCAGTGATTCCCGTTTATTCCTACACATTCTTTGTGTGCAACATTGTCACGGTTTGTGTTGTTCTTCATTCTCTGAGTTGTATTTCTCACCTGAACAACTCTTTCTTGCTGTCTCATGTATGCACTGTCATTCCTAGAGATGAGCTGCTTTGTCCTGTGAGGCAGGGAGGAAGCATGGGAGCCACTGATGGCAGCACTGCGTTGACAGCATGTGTTGTCATAGCCCGCGGTAGCAGTATCAGGGCCGTTAGAGGACAGGTCAGTATTAGAGTTCAGCAGCCTGTAAATCCCATGACATCCCATCTCATGGGTCTGAGAGCCTTGGGCCTGTGCCGCAGTGACACTGCTCGGGAGCGGGTGAAGGGCATTTTGCAACTCGGCGCGCAGCTCTTGAACATGCATTGATAACGGTTGCTGTCCCCCTCAGCCTGCCCCCATCAGTCTTTGGCAGAAGCACCGTTTTAGACTGAGCTATTCATACTTATTTGTGTTTTTACACCTTTTTTCCTTTCATAAGGATTTTAGCTGGTTTATGACTTGAGTTGAGAAACAAGGACAAAAAAGAGGAGACCTGAAAAGGTCTGACCCTGCCAGCCAGAGGCCCCTAGGGTACCCAAATAGGGCAGTGGCTCAGTCTGGCAGCACTCCTGTCTCTGAAGGTTTCAGCTTGGAAAGTGGTGACTGTTTGCATAGCCATGGGATAGCTGCTGCTTCTCTTGTGATACTGTGTTTTTGAGATACTTTCCTGCTCTTGTTGACTTTGTTTTTCAGCTTGTGGTAAAAGGTTTCAGGTCCCCACATGAACTTTCTGTGGGATCACCCAGTTCTGGGCAGCCTCACCAGATCACACGTGCTAACAGAGGCAAAGAGTCTTCTTGGTTAATAGAAAAAGCCATTTTGGAGTGAATCTCAAAGTCCAGAAACATCCAGACTTTTCTTCAGTACTTTTTCCTGTTTGGGATGGCAACTTTGCCTGGAGTAGGGGAGGGAGGAGTTAGTTGGGAGGGTTCGTGTTTAAGGGGTTCAGAAACGGGGTTTAAGTGTGTCTTTTGTGTTTTCAAGGCACTAACACCACTCCCGTCTGTATTTAAATGCTGTCCCCAGGTTACGACTATGGCTATGTCTGCGTGGAGTTTTCACTCTTGGAAGATGCCATCGGATGCATGGAGGCCAACCAGGTTGCTTTATACTTCGGTCAAATGATGCTGGAAGGATATATTTTATGTATGGGGAGGGAGGGTTTCAAATGATTTCACTTTGGAAAGGAGAAATCTATCTTTGGAGCGTACCATATCCCAACCAAAAAGCGGTTGTAAGGAGAAACTTCACAAAAGGCTGGGAAGACGTTTCCTCTAGGAGAGCCAGTGGGCGCAGAGTATATTTAAAAACCAGGGCCCGGTTGCAGTTGGAGGAGAGTCCAAAGGCAGGAGATGGGAAAAAATTTTTAAAAGGCTCAGAGTGCTTCCCTTTGGAATGTGACTGAGATGGGAATCCTGATGCAAAGAATGGTCCCAAGGATCTGCCTGGTACGGGAATTCTAGGCCAGCAGTTACACCCAGACCAAGGGTGAAGACCACTGATGGTGACCCTGTCACTCAGGTTCTGTCTGCATATGCTGCTTCAGGAAGCTCCAGTGGGGTGGAGGGGTAGGTTGCGCGTCTGTTGCATCCATTCTGCTCCTTGCCAGTCGAAGCTGCGTGCCCAGGCCCTTGGCTGCAGATAGTCAGCTGTGAATCTGAATCTGTCCTTACCTTATGTTTGGACCATCTGGAGTTACTCAGCGTGCCACCTAGGATTGTCATCTGCGTCTTTAATTGGACCCTGCCTGCTGGTTTTGGAAGGAATTACTAAGTGGATAAAAAGAGCCCTTCTTGTCATTGTGTTTCCTTGGCAAAGTAGTTTTCTTTGTGGTGCCTCAGTTCCTCCATCTGTAAGGGAGGAAAAAGCTTAGGGATTTAGCTTGATTTTTTTTATGTACCCACTGCATATACTTAGCAGTGTGAATCCAGCGAGCCCGGAACCTTACAAGAAGTCTCTGCCAGAGAAGAGCAGTTTTCACACGAGCACTCTTCGTCTTCTGTAGCCCAGTGTACTCTTATCAGCCTCGGTGCACCCAGTGTGGCTCGTTGTCCTTTCCCCTTTGGCTCGGTTTTCCTCTTACGGTATGGAGCCGACGTGTGCTAAATGCTTTGTGAGCAAGCGCCAATTGGATATATCCCTAGCTCATTAGTAGAAGCACTGTCAGACCCTCAGAGGAGGACAGTGAAGGCCATGTACCCTTGAGTTAACAGGCTCTCACTGACCGTTCAGTGTCCATCACTGAATCAGCCAGTTAGTACAGGCTAATGACATGTCGGAGACTGCGCTGTCTTCCAATTTTGAAGAGAACAATGAAGGTTCTAATTTGTATGCTTATGACTGATTCTGTTAAAATAATCTACCCAAATTTGAGCACATGTTTAATTCATAAACAACTTGTTCTTTACAGTGAATAGTCATGAAGTCCTTCGCCACTGCACCAAATAGTGTGAGTGATAGAGCACCCCCGTGGGTGAAGGGGAAGACAGCAACCGTTACCAGTGCATGTTCAAGAGCTGTGCATACCGAATGCTCTATCTACTGCCCCATTCTCCCAACCATGCTTCTGCCCTAGAGTGGTGGTTCTTTTATCAAGACTATTCAGTCTTCGATCTTAGAAATACTAACATTGTCTCTTATCTGCCTATTCTCTCCAGCCCAACAATAAAAACTTTCTAAAGAATCCAGTCCCTTAAAGAGTGGTATCAAATAGAGCGTAGGCAACTTCTTTAAAGATAAGGCTTCGGGCCAGCAGGTGGCAAAGTGGTTAAGGCACTGGACTCCCACATGGCCAACTGCAGTTTGAGCCCCAGACCTGGTGGCTTGAAAGTCATACTGCGCTGTCTTCCAATTTTGAAGAGAACAATGAAGGTTCTAATTTGTATGCTTATGACTGATTCTGTTAAAATAATCTACCCAAATTTGAGCACATGTTTAATTCATAAACAACTTGTTCTTTACAGTGAATAGTCATGAAGTCCTTCGCCACTGCACCAAATAGTGTGAGTGATAGAGCACCCCCGTGGGTGAAGGGGAAGACAGCAACCGTTACCAGTGCATGTTCAAGAGCTGTGCATACCGAATGCTCTATCTACTGCCCCATTCTCCCAACCATGCTTCTGCCCTAGAGTGGTGGTTCTTTTATCAAGACTATTCAGTCTTCGATCTTAGAAATACTAACATTGTCTCTTATCTGCCTATTCTCTCCAGCCCAACAATAAAAACTTTCTAAAGAATCCAGTCCCTTAAAGAGTGGTATCAAATAGAGCGTAGGCAACTTCTTTAAAGATAAGGCTTCGGGCCAGCAGGTGGCAAAGTGGTTAAGGCACTGGACTCCCACATGGCCAACTGCAGTTTGAGCCCCAGACCTGGTGGCTTGAAAGTCATGCTGGGCACGTGTGCATGCATGCTCCAAATCACAAGGAGAATGGAGAAGGGATCACAGCGTGGCCATCCCCTGCAGGGGGATATTTCTCTCTTTCTCACTTTCTCTCTCTCTGGCAGGTGCATGTGCCATATAGGAAAATCTAAGAAAAAAAAGAGGCTTGTCCTTAGGCAGGTGTCCTGTTGGAGCTGCGTCTGAAGTGCTCATTTACCGGAGCAGTATTGAGAGGAGGTGGCTTATCGACATCTACTCACTGCCACCTTTTGTGAACACTCCTGGGGCTACCAGATCCCTGAGGAATGACCCCTACCCAGTGAAGAGGACATCAGGGCAAAGCAGGAGTAGGGCCTGTGTTCTTCAGGTGTGAAATACAGTGCTTCGACAGGTCGCTGTCTCTCTGCGTGGTGTGATGTGGTTGAGGAGTGCAGCTCAGAGAGTCTCTACCGTCTAGAACCATGTGCTCTCACACTGACCATGGAGATGTTACACGTGATGTCCTCGGGTCCCAGAGGGTGTTCTCACAAAAGAATTTTAATTTGTGTTTCATCTCATTTTCCATAAAAAAAAAAAAAAAATTAAGAATTATTTTATTTGTAGGGACCAGTAGGTGGCATGGTGGTTAAGGTGCTGGGCCCTCCCATGTTCAAGTCCTGGACCTGGTGGCTTACTTTCTCACTTTCCCACTCTCTCTCTGTCTCTGTCTCTGTTTCTCTCTCTGGTCAAATTAAAATAAATAGATGAATAAATAAATTTTAAAGAAGAGTTATTTTATTTGTTATTATTTTAAAAATTTGACCAGAGAGTGATAGAGAGGGAGCGAGGGAAAGTAGGAAAGCAAACTGCCAGGTTTGAGACCTGAACCATGGTCAGCCATGTGGGGGCCCAGCACCTTAACCATCATGCCACCTCCGGCCTCCCCCCTTTTAATTGTTGGAGAGCATATACATTGAGGGGGAAGCCTCCCTGATGGGGTGCGGTCCTGTTGTAATCCTTCTGCCTCCATTTCTCCATCCTCTCAGGACTTGGGCTAGCACACACCTGAGCGTGTCCCTCAGGCTGCCAGGACTGGAATTCACACTGCGATTGGCCATGTGGGATCCAGCACCCCCCGTGCAGTGCCTCACCGTACTGCAGGGCCAGCCTCTGATCGCAGGTTTAACATCCACTGGGGTTACTCCTTAATAAGGCCGTTTCCATGTCCATATTCAATCAGCTGTATTTCCTAAATTTTTATTCTTTACCTAGTCACAGGACAGACAGCTGGCACTGACACACAACAGAATCCTCTTTTGTTGAAGTACTTGGACTTCATGATCAAATCAGCACTTTATTTTTTTTTGGAGAGATTTTTATGATAGAGCTTGTGTGCTTGCCAGAGAGACAGAAAGTGAGAAATCATCCCCTGAGGTGATGGCCATGCTGCAATCCATTCTCCTCCATTCTCCTCTCAGGATTTTGGGCATGTATGCACATGCAACCGGTGCAAATCGGCAGTATTATTATTTTTTTAGTAATTATTTTATTGAACTTTATTTATTTTAATTTGACCAGAGAAGGACAGAGTGAGAAAGTGAGAAAGCAAGTCACCAGGTCTGGGACTCAAACCATGTTTGGTCATGTGGGAGGCCAGTGCTCCTAACCACTACACCACCTGCTGGCCCCCCAGCATTATCTTTCTTTTTTTTTGGTGGGGAGAGGTTTTTACTATAGGGTGTGTGCACTAGCCAGAAAGAGAGAGACAGAGACAGAAAGTGAGAAATCACCCCCAGGGGGAATGGCCATGCTGCAATCTTTTCTCCATACTTTTCTTGGTATTTTGGGCCCACACTCACACGTGCCTGGTGTGAGTTTAAGCCACCGGATCTGGGACTCGAACCACAGTCGAGTATGTGGCAGTCAAGTGACATAGCCATTACACCATCTGCTGGTCCCCCCAGCATTATGTTTTAAATTGACTGCAGTCTGAGTCCCCGCAACAGCAACTTAAAACTCATGCTGGGTGTGTGTGTGCGTGCGCACGTGCCCCAAATCCCAAGAAGAGAATGGAGGAGAAGGGATTGAGGGCCTGGCTATCCTCCCTGGGGGCATGATTTCTTGTTTTCCGTCTCTCTGGAGAGTGCATGTGCCATATAGTAAAAATCTCTCTAAGGGACCAGCATAGTTGCTGACTATGGTTTGAGTCCCAGACCTGGTGGTTTGAAAATCATGCTGGGCACATGTGCCTGGGTGCCCAAATTCCTGAGAGGAGAATGGAGGAGAGGGGATTGTGGCATGGCCATCTCCCCTGGGGGGTGATTTCTCACTTGCCCTCTGTTTCTCTCCAGTGAGTGCACACTCCCTGACACATAAAATTGAGAAGAAAAATTGAAGGTAGAGTGCACATGGGTGCACACGTGAACAGAGAAAGTGTGTGGGGTCCTGGATTGGGATTGGGCACACTGTGACCCCCTTTCTCCAGCTTGTCAGGATCTTGTACCTAACACATTTCAAGTTCATCAGGCTTGGGATTTGTGGCTGACCATGTGCCACCAGTGCTGTGGCCCAGTACACTTGGGACTATGCCACCAGGGGGCTGTCTTCTTTTTTCTTTTTTCCCCAAATGAGAAAAAGAGAGAAAGGGAGAGAGGAGGTTTGTTTGTTTTTGCGTTTGTTTGTTTTGTAGGACCTCATTGGAGGTGGATATCATCTCCTTCTGTGTGCCCTTGTCCTGGGACT